AATTGAACAAATCAAATCAGTCCAGGCCCGACCGACCACTTATGGTTGTCATCACTAAATAATTGAGGGGTCCATAGATATCGCTTTTATCCACATGGGGTAAAAGGAATGGATAAACTTCGACCCAAATTCTCGCTTGTACTCACTCATCAAATTACACACAACTATTTGTTTTATAACATCCAAGTTACTGGTGAGTTTACATATGTCAATGTGCAAATGACTCGCAACTACAACTCACACGTCTCCGTTTAAAGAATATAAGATATTATTGTCTCATGATCACTCGTGATAAAATCCATGAAGTGATTCAAATGAGTGTGGGTTTAATCCAATACTCGAATCTGATTCCAGGAGCACTCATGAATATTGCAGCTATGTCTAAAACACCTAGACATACTACAGACCCATTCATGACAGTCTTGCCTCAATACCTACTTCCAAAGTATGATCGACTGTGGACGGTTTGAATAACCAAGTTATTCGGGAAGTCAAAACATGCAAACTGAAACACAAGAATAATACTAATCCTATATGGACCGAAAACTTTTGAGCCATATTGATTACTCATTATTCATTGTATAATGTTTCAAATAATCAACTTAATACTTGAAGTAAAACAATAGTTATCCCATGCTATAAGCATGCACTATGTTTACTTATGGTCCTTTCTTTGTGGAATAGATCAATTGAAAACATTTCAATGATGCTCATTTCACAATTCCAAATCCTTATGACAAATGTAAGAATACAAGATTCTTTGCCAATCTGTTAGATTCTAAACTTATATGCAATGATCCTCTTGTAATGACTATGCACAAAAGTCACAAAGACTTGGCAACAAACACTACAAAGTATTCCAATGGAGAGCAATTCCATGGAAACGAAGTCTCACATTCAAAGTACATTCCTTTGAACATCCTTCTTGCATTGAGTTTTCTAATCTTACACAGATTTAATGAATAACTTCCACCTACGGAAACATTTCCTTATTCCCATTTTGACTATCACTTCTGAATAAGAGTTGCCTCTTTTCAGAATATGTCAATATGGTTCTTCCAAAATTAACACTATACTTCCAGCTGTCCATGAGCAACCAGTCTTTGGTAAACCTCAGATTGTCCTCGACAATTGCTTAATCATTTTAGTCATATCCAGTTCTATTCCTTTTTCCCTCTTAATGCCCTAGGCATTTGGAAAAATTAGAACGGATGAATATCACAGCACATGTAATCGATCCTATATCTGAAGCATATGGGACGCGATTCATGATGTCTCACATAAAGACATGATACTAGACCAGTCTTTTGCTATAATATTTCTATTTGCCATGTTCTCATAATTCGAATTATGAAAAGGGATGTCGTAATCATAATCGAATTTTAGAACGCAAATAATATTTCAATATATCGAACTTCCTTATGTTGAACCATTCCAACATAACATTCATATATATATATATATATATATATATATATATATATATATATATATATATATATATACTTGACTAAATTCGATTAAAATCTCAATTTAAGCTTTCTCAATTTCAGCTTTTAGAATTGGAATGAAGTATAATTTCCTATCCCTTAGTTATAGCAAAACAACTTTTCAAACCCTACAACTTTGCAAATTGAAACTTTTGTTTTCTATAATTAACATTGCTAACTTGCAACACTTAACATAATAATCATGCTCCCACTAACATGATAATTATCTTCTTATCAGCATAACACTTATGCTCCCACTAGCTTTGACATGTATCCAGAAATCAACTGGACTTCTAGAAATCAATATTTTATTGACTTTCATTACCAAAGTTCAGGTTTTTGATACGAGATGCTTCGATAAGACTTTATCTAAGCTTCCCAAAATCATACACCTTTCCTTAGATAGCTCACTGTGTGTCTAAACAATTTTAGAACTATGAAAAGGGATGTCGTAATCATAGTCTCGAATGTTTAGACCTTTTCCATTGCTCACAATTCGAATTATGAAAAGGGATGCCGTAATCATAATTGAATTTGAGACTGCAAATATCACAATTTCTGTCTCCTTAAAATCTACTTAGTGAAAGCATTTTGTCACCATCATTTTCATGAATCGAAGAGAAACCTTATGACACTTAGAATTTATGGTGTATGTGTTCCTATCCATATGAATTTGTCAAAAACATAACCACAAGAGGAGGTTAGTGACAAATCCAAACTCATATGGACTGAATTCGTTCAATCTTAACATCTTGCCACCTGGAAGCACAAGGGCCTACCATTGCTTCCAAGTAGTTATGCAAACAACTGAGAACTCATAGAACTCACATGCATAGTCAACTTTAACAGGAATAGGCACAGAAACAAGAATATGTCAACACGATAGGTTACAAACCTCAAGTCATGTGCTAGTGATAAACAACAGGTTTTATTCTTGATTAGTTCTTGAGACTTTTCAAGATCATTAACACTCCCACTAACCTATTGACATATAAGATTCTTTTGTCAATAACCATTCCTTGACAAAGAAAATATTCAAGAGTTAGTGTGGATTCTTATCAAGACAAAAAACTTCACACAATTGGCCTTTGTTAGTCTTTGTTTTATCCAAAACATCACAACTCACTCTCCCACCTTATCAGATTGGAGAAACTTTTATCTTTCTTCCAAATTTGATTCTTCTCATTCGTCCTGCCATACATTGAAACTTTTCCAATGCTTCAGAATTATACTTAAACTTGTAAGCACAACCATATTTACTAAACTTTAGTAAATCATGACGAATAGCCTTATCGTTCTTTGTGGTGGACCTAATCAGCGCACAACCAAGTGTACCCGATCTCCTAGTCCTTCACTTGAATCACATATACATGTGAATGAGGAATTAGTCTTAATTTCCCAAAGATGAAATTTTTCATTCATCATACAATACAAGTTGCATGATCCCAAGTTTCTATCCAACTGAAACTTGGTTGATGAGAATATTTCCTTATTTGGTAAATTATGACACTACCACAAATGAAAGAATCAAATCTATTTTCCAATATTGCTATCAATGGAAACATGTATACAACAATTTTCACAAATGCCATTGTAAGGATACTTAAAATAAATAAAATCAAAAAATTTTCATTTATTTAAAAAAAAAATTGCGGAAAAACTTATCCTTACAATGCAAACACATATGAAAACTATGTTGTTATCTATTCCTAAGCAATCTATCATAACTCTTAAGCAACAACTCAAAATTCTGATATTCGAATCATGTGATCGAAATCCATCTTCGCGATCAGATTCAACATACTCTTCTTCTAAGCTTCCTCTCCTTTTTTGATTCTACAAAACATCAAAATGCGACTAGTCACATCATGTAATAAGAATCTCCAAATAGGAACTTAATAGAGTTAGATAGTGGACTTTACCTGAACCACAGTCAAATTTTTGACTTTTACCATCCTAGTGAACTTTCAGGTAAATAAGGTAGCTTCGCAACTCTTTGGTAATGGTACATGGGACTATCTCAGAATTAGCCTTTCTCTTTACCATTTGGTCAACCGGGTTGACTATGGCCGATCCCTTTCCATTGGGAAGAGAATACTTTTCTGGACTTCCAATGTTTCCATTGTCAATGTCCATGTAAGTTTGGGAAGTAGATCTTCCAATCAAAATTGCTTTACCAGTGCTCTAAATCATTGCTGATTCAGCAGCAACAAGCAAATAGGTAAGATCGATAAGGGTCATGTCGTGATATGTCGCATAGTAGTCCTTTAAAGAACCCGCTATATGACTTAGGAAGTGATTGAAGAACCCAGTCAACATCCAACTTCCTTGAGACTTCGACACCCAACTCTCCCAACTTGTCAATATGTGATACCATCTCCAAGATGTGAGCACATATAGACACTGCTTGCCAATAGGGATTGAGTGACCTTGAACTTTTCAAGAACTTATGGGTTAGGGAGAATAATTGGTGGAGGTAGAGGAGGTGAAGTATGATTTCCAGTCTCATTAATGCACAACAAAGGGATTAATCTTTCACCTTGATCTCCATTTGGGATATCATCTTCATTAGGATAGCTTTATCCAAAAGAATAAGGAAGACCATAGTTGTCATAACTAGACATCTATGAGGGAGAAATTCAAGTTTAGTTGATTTAAGCCCTTAATATAACACCCAATATGAAATATTAAGGCTAGGACCCAACACAATATTTTATAACTTGGAAGAGGGATGTCGTAATCCTGACTACAAAATATTTGTAGGTAGATAAATGACAATTTACCAATTTTCACCCACTACTAGAAAACAGCCCTTTAATGACGCGCAAACAATGACACTCGCTGATAGAGGACGCGCATTTGTGCGTGCCCTAAAAATAATGTCATCTCTCTTAAAATTTAAAGGATTTAGGACACGCATTTTTACGTGCCCTGAAATTAGTGTCTAAACAAAAAAAACATGGAGGGCACCTATAATAAAATGTGTGTCGTCTAAGGTTGTCGCTTTATAAATTTTAATGGCACTCATGCGTTCCATCCCGAGGGAAAAATGAAATCCCAAAAACTTAAAAACACCGCCTTCCTCTTTGTAATAGCTAGGGCTTTTTGTCAAGAACTGCCTCGGCCTCCTTCCTCTACTGCACGTTCTCTCTTCAATTTCCATTTCTCTCTTTCTCACTTCGAGAAAACCCTCTCTCTTCTTCTCAGCTCTCGACGTTGACAGCTTCTCCCACCTCCGATGTTTCTCTTCGCGCCGACGCCTCCCACCCTGACCTCCGTCCAGCCCCGCCTCGCCGTCCAGCGCTTTCTAGCGACACCCAGCCGGTGGATCCCCTCCTTTCCGACGCTTTCCAGCGACACACAGCCGATGGAGTCCCTCTTCTCTGATAGAGAGCGACACCTCCGGTGTCTAGTTTCATGAGGAGACTGCGACTATCACCAAGAGACTTCGGTGTTACCTTATCCAACACTTTCACCATATCTTTTGGAGATGTAAAACCTAAAAACGAGATGCTCCAGATTGATGATTCACTTAGATATGAAGCTGTTGGTGCCACAAAGATTCCAATAATTTCCAGAAATCCGATTCAGGCACAAGATCATGTTTTGGTAGAGAGAAAGATAAGAGAAAAGTTGAATCGATTCTTTATTTCCTTATCTTCCCTCATCCCTAAGCTTAAGAAGGTACTTGTTTCTTTTTTATGATAAAACTCTTAAGATGAGTATGTATTTTGTCTTAAGAACTTGTTACCACAATCAAAAGACATAAATCATTAACAAAATATTGGAAGTAACTGTTGTTTCAACTTTTGTAGATGGACAAGGCATCTGTGCTTGAAGATGCATCTATTTACATAAAAGAACTTCAAGATCGGGTGAAGGAACTGGAGGGATTATCAAGAACAAAGAGAAAGAATGTTCAAGAATCTGTTATTTCCATAAGGAAGTCTAGGCTTAGTACTAGTGATGATGAATACTACTCATCTGATGAAACGAACTTTGAATAAAATACTCATCTTTGCAAATTGTCACCTGAGATTGAAGTTCGGATGTCAGGGAGCAGTGTGCTTGTAAGAATTCAGTGCCAGAAAAACTTTTCTTCCTTGATGAAAGCATTAACCCAGATGCAAAACCTTGGATTGTCGATCATTAGTAGCAGTGCCATGCCTTTTGCGAAGACCACACTTCTAAATCAATATTGTTGCTCAGGTACTTGAATTCTGAAACCCTAATGATCACGATTAATAATAACAATAGTGAAATTAGTCCCCACGTCTAATAATTGCCACATCGTTATGGAACTTGAATAAGGTTGATTCCCCTAATTTAGTGCGATTATCCTATTTTATACTATGTCTGGCTAGCTTTTTAAGATTTCATAACATTCACAATATGAATGTAATCATACAAAAATAGAAGTATATGTTGATATATTTAGGCACCTAAGTATTTGCATTTGGTTATTGTGGCTCGTGTATTTCTTATAAATTCTTGATAAAAATGAATTTTAAAGTATCTTTTTCACTTTAATGTTTTCTATTTATTTAGGCAATACCTCCAGTTACTCGGATGACATTAGGAAGAAACACATGGGTTGCTGTTTTATGCAGAAAGCTAAGAGATTGGTGGCACTGGGTACATTATATTTTCATCTTCACAATTAAAATTGTCATAACTTTCTTTTGTTCATAATCGAGTTTGCTTTTGAAACCTTATTGTAGGTTGCAGAGGGGGAATTATCTATTGTAGCATGACATGGGTAAGTTGTGCTACATTTATGATCAATTATATATGTCATTTATTTTCATTTTAGTTTAACTAATTACCATATCTTGTCCTTTCAGGGCTGAGATTGAAACATATAACACCCTTGATCCTGGTGTTCGTGTGCTCATATTGAAAGCCTTATGTGACATTCGAGTTGAGGTATTTGTTCTGCTGAATCTGAATACACCTGTTTTTTTTATCCATTTTTGCATCATGCATGGTTGATTAACTGTTATGAACCGTTACAGCAAGAAGATATAAGAAGTTATATAGATGACTCTATAAAACATGGTGTTCATCTTTCGGCATTTCGTAAAGAACGTACAGGTGGTGACTCTCATAGAGTTTCTTACTGGTACTTTGCCAATATTTGTCATTGATATGTTTTCATAATGATTTTAGTCAACCCAAAATCTATTTTGATTTGATTTTTTTTAGTGAAAAGGTACGAGAATGATCCTATCATTGGGCAGAGATTATACCATGAAATTAAGACAGTGGAAGTGAAGAAAGGGAAGGGGAAAAACATACAGTCTGTTCCATCTTATCATTGGGAAACAATTGCTACTAATTTGGATGAGTTTCAAGACGTTTCAGTAAGTTCTCCTAGTGATGATTTCTGCTCCTTTGTTGAAAAATATTGTAGGTAGTGTTTGTTACATGATAGAATCAAAGAAGGAAATGGAATGGTTCATTCCATTTGGAATGAAAAAGTTGTTTGTTCTTTCTGATGGAATGGAATGGGCTTTTCAAGAATGTGATTACTTTCATTTGTATTAATTTTCATACCTTAGTCAGGGGATTTTTTTTCCAATGAAAATCTGCAATATAACTGGTGTTTATCCATGTAATTTTTCTGACAAATCTTTTTTATAAAGTATCATATGATTATAAAGAAATTAAAGTCATATTTTCTAAAAGTAACTAGAAAATATGTATCTATTATAATCTTATTTGAGCTTTATTGCGTTTTCATTATGTTCAATTTTTTGTTTTTTTTTAAATGTTCATTTGCTAGATGTTAAAAATGTGCAAGTTGAGTTAAACCTGTGATTTTTATTTACATATAATATAGAAAATTCATTCCATTCCTACTTACCAACCAAATATTAGAATGGAATGTAATGACTAATTCCATTCCATCCAACCAAACCAATATTTAGTAAAGTGTCACGAAGCAATATTCAGATCATGTTTTTGAAACATTTATATTACTATTCATCTGATGGAATCACAGCTTTTATATTTTCTACAGTGTCTGAACTCTTGAGATTTTTAACTTTCCTTTGATAGGAAAAACTATCTTCTAGCAAAAATCGTACTGAGTCTTCACTTGGGAAGAAACTAGAAGATGACATCCTACCAGAGATCAAGAAGGTTGTAACGACGTAAATTTTCAACAAAGTTTTTTCATTTTCAAACACAATAAAACTCATTTCATAAATTCTCAAAATCACATATGTCTCAAATGTCAACAAGTATAACACAATCCCAGAATCATAAAAACAATCTCCTGCCAGTGTGTACAATCATACCGGTCCCTTATCACGATCCTCGGAACTACCTGAAACACATAACACATAACACGGTAAGCATAAAGCTTAGTGAGTTCCCCAAAATACCACACACAGCACATCAGCCACTCAAGGCTATAACTCAATAAGACCCTCCGGTCAATGTGTCTCAGTGGGACCCTCCGGTCCCACAGATCAGATAGACCCTCTGACCCCTCAACTCAGCAGCTCAATACAATACACAGTAAACATATCACATAACAAATAGCAGGATATCTCAATATACAGCTCATTCACATAAGACCCTCTGGTCACACACAAAATTACCACTCAAGGTAAGTATAGTGAGATGACTCACCTCGTAAGCTAGCAAAAGAAAACCTCGAACTCGGAATCTCGAACTCTACCCACCAGTCTAGCCTCCGCCTAGCACATAATAATTATCCCTAATTAATATTGGTCCTCAAGAAGCTAGACTAACCCTTCTATGCTCACAGGAGGGTGAAAAGACCATTTTACCCCTCCATAGGCTTAATAGTCCACACTTTTGACCAAACCCTAAAAGTCAACAAAAGTCAACGGCAGGGAGTACGCTGCGCGTACTCGATCTCTACGTTGTGCGTACTCGGCTGCCATGCAGGCATCGGGGATGCTCGACCCTACGCCGCACGTACGGGGATTACCCCCAACGTACGCCCCAATTTCACTCTTCTCACATTTTTGGTCTTAACCAGTTAAGACATAGGCTCATATCTTAGATCTGGACTCTCTAATGTCTCTTAATCCATAAAGTCAGTGACTTTAAGCCTTTGCATGGCTGATTGGGTCACTAACACTCAAAACATCCATCATCTTTCCTCATGAAGCTCATATCTCATGCATGGCTTACTCCTAACGTCCAATATTGGATTTTTATCACTCAAGTCCACAAAATACACTGAAAAGGGGTAGATCAAGGTCCGTGGAGCTCATTATCACATAAAGTCTCCATCTTTTGGGACAAAACCCTAAAATACTCCATGAAAATGCACAAAAGGAAATAGTGAGAAAGCTTGGAGCTTTATACCTCTATGTGAAGCTTTCCTCACTACAAAGCTCAGATCCAAAAGCATGGACTCTCACTCTTCTTCTCTAAAGCTCCTTCTCCTCTTCAAGATCACAGGAAAATGCTCACAAGCTCTCCAACGCACTCTCCAGCTAAGAAGACGAATATTTAGGGTTAGGAAGGTTTGGAGTCTAGGAATGATGGCCAGGAATGAGGCCATCACTTCCTTTATATAGGCCACACCTCAAATTAGGGTTTCCATTCTGGGCCTAGCTTTCTCACTTCCAACGCACTCCCCGCGTACCCATTAATCACTTTTTCTCTACCAAGGGCCAAATGAACAAATGCTCAATAGACTAAGGTTCACAAGGAATACCTGGACTTGGGGTGTTACAAAGGTCCATAAGGTAAGCAAAAAATCTTGCATCTTCCTTCATATTTTGAACCGCTTTCTGTTCTAAATTCATATTGTTGAGAGTTATAAACTATTTGAGAAAATGATGACCAATTTGGAGAAATGAGAAGAAACAATGAGGGTAAATGTATAAGAAGTTTGGATTTAACGGGAAAAGAATGTTTTCCTAGAATTTTTTATTAAGTCGTTCTTTGTACATTAAGTCAAATAAGAGAGAAGCAGTGGTGTAATTGTTTGTTGTTGGTGCACAGAGGAAATATAAGTTGCTTAAGAGACAACATAGACAAGCTCTTCTTCTGATATCATGATTAATGATGCAATTGGTCAAGGGCATTCCCTACGTGGCAGAAAACCCGTGTCCTACACTTTTGGTAAGATTAATCCCACTCATTTTCAATCTTATTATTCATCATTTATATTTTATTCCTGTCACTATAAAAATTGCAACTTTTGCAGATGATTATGACCGATCAATCAACGAGGCTATCAAGATAACCAAGTAATAACTTTTTTACTTTAACTATTTTAATTCATTGTATGGATTCTTATCTTTTGTTCTTTTTTCCAGAAGGAAGCAAGCATCCCCATAACATAGTGTGAGGGAACATAGCGTGAGAAGAGAAGGTTTAAGAAATGGGGTTTCCACAAATGGTGCTCCATCACAAACTTCTCATCAACCCTTACCAAATCCATCATCACCCGATTCACATTCACTCCAACTTCATTATGATGAAACCGATGAAGATCATGCATATTTCCTTATTCACCTTTAACCTTTTTTTTTCTTTGTTGTAAAAGAACTAACTTTAAAAAGGAAAGAAATTAATTTTTGAAGTTTTTAATTGATTAGGTGTCTTGATTGTACTGCTGGGGTAGTGGAGCAAACAATTAGGAGGAATTGATGGCAAATCAAGCATTTAAAGGGATCTAACCGGTTGTACATGTCTTGTTTTTTTATAATAAATATTATGCAATATTAGCAATGTATCACATTTACTTCCTATTGGAATGATTATTTGTATTTGACATATTAGTGGAATGAGTTATCTTTCTTATTTATTGTATTTTATTTGGTATTATGATAATTTCAATATGTTGTTTAATTTGAAAATTAGTAATTCTATCAAGTATATATCTATTTTTAAAACATTTAAAATTATGACACGCAATGACGTGTCGTCTTCCTTTATGACAGGGGCTTCCTTGATACACATTGCATGTCATAAACACACGCGTCGTAAGGTTACGACACAAAAATGCGTGTTGCTTTTCTTTATGATAGTGCCTTCCTTGATACGCATTGCATGTCATAATAGAGCGTCGTAAATGCGTGTCGTAATTGTGCGTCGTAAATGCGTGTCGTATAGACGACGCGCAAAGCGTGTCGTCTCTCGTTATGACAGGGCCTTCCTTGACACGCATTTGCGCGTCGGCTGAGCGTTTTACGACACACATTGCACGTTGTAAAAGGCTGTTTTTCTAGTAGTGACCACGAAAAACGAAATTTAACGTTAGGTTTTAAATGAATTGAAACTCCTAGATCTTTTGAGATTCATTGAACTATTCAATGGCATGTTTAAATCTCGATTGTGCCCTTCAAGTTTGTGACTGGGATGCCGAGGATCACAAACAAGGAGTGAATAACCATGCAAATTAACTTGGTACACTTAATGTTACAACCACCTAATCAATGTGCCGGTTAACCACACACGCTCCATTGATCTATGATTAAAATCAAGCTACCCTTTGCCACACATTGTCAGTCCCAGATTAGTGTGCCCGTTAACCACACATGCTCCACTAACGACTTAACAAGGTGCAAAGTGCAATTTCATGGGTTAGCACCATATTCACATTTCCCAGATTAGTGTGCCTGTTAACCACACACGCTCCACTAACGACTTAAAAAGGTGCAAAGTGCAGTTTCATGGGTTAGCACCATATTCACATTTTCCTAAAGTAACTAAGATTGAGAATTTAATAAAGTTTAGTTACTTTATATTTATCATTATACTTTTAATGAAGGAAGAATTAATGTCATGTCCTACCCGTTCGGCTAACGACCTTCCACCAGTCAAGGAAGCGGTGAGTGAGAGTGGACACCTATTAAACTGCCATTTTATAGGCACTAACCTTATACCCCTTATAGACCGGCTTCGTGAATGAGGTCTGCTAACGGTAAGACTGACTTACTCTTATATATATATATATATATATATATATATATATATATATATATATATATATATATATATATATATATATATATATATAGGCCTAGGTTATTCTATTCAAAGTAATTATTGTGTTATTGTATGCATAAATGTGGGCCAATCAAATTTACTTATTTTAAGAAAGTGATTAATATATATTATTGAATTAAATATAATTAAAAATATCATCTTAATTAATTACAAGGGTAATTTAGTCAATTAATATAGATTTAATAAAGGAAAATTGTATTTTTTAAGGGATCATAGATTCTATTAATTTTAAAAATCCGATTTTACGTATTATAATTTTTTTAATTCGGACATTCTGACAGAATATGTTTATGAGTATATTCATAAATAATAAAAATATTCTTGAACCTATTTCTTGATCATACATTTAAAAACTTCTTGTAGAATAACAAGTCCTTGAACAATCAATTGAAGAATAAAAACAAAAAATACATTATTTCTTATAGAATATGGGTAACAATTGTTAAAAATTATATTTATTGTTAAGGAATAAAAACTAAAAAACAATCAAAACGGGAAAGAAAACATCAAAATCTAACAACGACTACTACATTCTAAAAGAATAATGTGGTCCGTTTCAATTTTGTGGTCTGTTCTTCAAGCATCAACTTCTGTGATTCCAACAGAATTGGAATTCGTCTTTCCATTCCAACAGAATTGGAATTTGTGATTCCATTCCAATAGAATTGGAATCTCACCAATATCATCCATTGAATCATCTACATAAACACTCTTCCATTCTCTATTCTTTTTTGCATCGATTCACAATCAATATTTTATACAAAAAAGAAAAATCACCCCTGCATTCCTTCTCTTCTTCGTTTTCAGTCAAGAACACACCACCTTAGTGAATGTTTTCTAGTGCAAACAGAAGAGATCAGCAACTCCTTTCTCTTCTTCTTCTTCTTCTTCTTCTTCTTCTTCTTCTTCTTCTTCTTCTTCGATTTCTACCAAGAACATCAAGAGACCAACAGCCTCTCCCTTTTCCTTCTATCTTTCCTTATTAAAAGAATCAAACAAATAAAAAACTCCCCTTAGATCGTTTTTTGCCTGCTTCCATTTTCCTTCGTTGTTCTCTGTTAAATCAGAAAGAAAGGGGGATCAAGGAGATTACCGGAGCAGCCCCCATTGCATCCCACAAATTCTCCGGTCAAGAAAACACCTCCGAAAATCTC